GTGTGAAAAAAAGAAAAAAGAAACAACAACAACAAAAAGCCAGCTAGGATAATCCTTGCTTCCATATTTTAATTATTTAATCGACTGAGATACCATTGAAGGTAAAATCTAAAATTGTGTTATTTTTTCTGGTTGACTATTCACCTTTACCTTGTACAAGGGAATTATTTAACAAATTATAAATGTCTTATTTCATTGAAAGAGACATTTAACAATGTAATTTTTCAGACTTGAAAAATGCATAAGAAATCTCTGTATATAACTATTCTGCTTGGTTAAAACCTTAGAAAAATGTTGCATGTAACTTCTCAGAATGAAACTGAAGTCAAAAGAAGAAATTCTAATTGATTTTAATAGGGCCAAGGTCTCAGTCTCACATTTCCCACCGTTTCTATAAAATATAACTTTATTGCTGGTCTCTATCACTTACAACCTGATATTCTACAGGCCTCTCTATCATGTTCATTTATTACTTTTCATTTAACACAATCAGTACTTTTAAAAGATTTCTTTCAGTGATCAGTCAGCAATGACCTGCATTAGTAAATCTGCTCCTTTGAAGTCTTTGGCCTTGCAAAACATTACACGTTTTCAGATGTGGTGAACTCCATGGGAAATGACAAACTGTACTATCATTAGCAGGAAACTGAAAAAAATGAACATGCTGATAGAAAACATGATTCTTCTTCTCCTGTAAACTCAGTTACTCAAAATACTTATGTATGGCTGGTGATTTCAAGATCAATTAAGCTGTCTTAAATCTATAAAGCACCACTGTGATTGCCTAGTCTGAAATTACAAATAATTAGACTGTTTCCAACACATTTTGAGGTGAAAATTCTTTAGAGGTTAGGATTACGTAATCAAAGATTTACTTGACCTCATACTGTTTGTGGTCATTATTGAAATCCATAGCCCCTGGGTTTTGTAGTATACTTGAGCAGGCTCTAGATACTGGAAGAAAGTATGTGTGCTGCGTTTAGACTACCAAAATATTCTACAGCAAATCCTACAACACGAAGACTTTATTTTGTCATTAGCTTATTCTTTCACTGTGATGATGTCTTAAAATAGAACTTCGGTCTATTTATGTTTAAGCTTCCTATTCTTAAGCTTCCTAAATGTGCAAGGAAATTGTATAAATTCTTCCAGTGTGAAATCTTTAAAACTATTAGCCAATCTTCTGTAATTAACTTGATATGTCTGAAATAATTCTATTAAAATCCCATGAATCAAAAAAATATATCTCTGTTCTCCAAAAGATAAAATATTTACAAATGAAATTCAAATAGCTGAACATCAGAGCAAAATCAATGATCTAATTTAAATAAGGCAATCTGCTATTATACATTTTATTCACCTCCTTGCACTTCCCTTCAGTCTTACAGTTCATTCTAAAAGTCCCACTGACTCTCACAGGAAAGCATTACCATGGTGAGTTTTTATGAACTTCTGATGTACCCAGGTATTAATGGATCAAAACTTATTCTTTATCAGGCAGACCTATTTTCAATGGGTAAATCAGTAAAGCCAAAAGACGGGAAAGGGAAAGAGAAAGGGAAAGGGAAAGGGAAAGGGAAAGGGAAAGGGAAAGGGAAAGGGAAAGGGAAAGGGAAAGGGAAAGGGAAAGGGAAAGGGAAAGGGAAAGGGAAAGGGAAAGGGAAAGGGAAAGGGAAAGGGAAAGGGAAAGGGAAAGGGAAAGGGAAAGGGAAAGGGAAAGGGAAAGGGAAAGGGAGGGGAGGGGAAGGCAAGGGAGACAGGTTCCAGACAGAATTAGGAGATTTCTAAAGACTAACAAAAATATGCATATTTAACTGCAAAATATTCTATACAGTCCAAACATAATGTCAGAATTTCTTTAGGCAACTGCTTTTATTTGAATTGCTATGACATCAAGAAGGAAGAGATGCCATTCAAAGGGACCTGGACAGGCTGGAGAAGTGGAACCACATGAAAAACATGAAGTTCAACAAGTCTTAGGGCAAAGTGTTGCACCTGGATAAGGGTAATCCCAGATGGAAGTACAGACTGGGAGAAGAACTCTGAGAGCAATCCTGCAGAGAAGGGGTTGGGGTTTCTAGTGAATGAAACTTGGGGTTTCTAGTGAATGAAAGACTCAACATGTCAGCAGTGCGTGCCTGCAGCTCAGGAGGCCAACTGCATCCTGGGCTGAATCCAAAGAGGTGTGACCAACAGGTTGAGGGAGGTGATTGTGGCCCTCTGTTCTGTCTTTGTGAGGCCTCACTTGGAATACAGTGTCTAGGTTTGGGACCCACATCACAAGAAAGATGTGGACCTGTTAGAGTGAATCCAGAGGAGGGCTATGAATATGCTCAGAGGGCTGGAGCACCTCTCCTATGAAGAAAGGCTGAGAGAGGTGGGCATGTTCAACCTGGAGAAGAGAAGGCTCCAAAGAGACTGCATTGCAGCCTTTCAATGCTTAAAGAGGTCTTATAAAAAGGATGGAGAAGAGCTCTTTACTCAGGTAGATAATGATAGGACAAGGAGGAACGGTCTTGAACTAAAAGAGGATAGATTTAGACTAGAGATTAGGAGGAAATTATTCACTCAGAGAGTGGTGAGGCACTGGAACTAGTTGCCCAGAGAAGCTGTGGATGCATCATCTCTTGAGGTGGTCAAGGCCAGGTTGGATGGGACTTTGTCCAACCTGATCTAGTGGGTGACATCCCTGCCTATGGCAGGATGGTTGGAGTTAGATGATCTTTAAGGTCCCATCGAACCCAAGCCATTCTATGATTCTATGATTCTACGATCAATAGAATTGAGAAGACAGAAGCCAATCCAAAACCAAAATAAAACAAAACAAAACAAACAATCAACAACAACAACAACAACAAAACAGGAATTTTATCATAGTTCTTCCACATTCATGAATTATGGACCACCTCACTTCATTTTTACTTGCAGTTCAAGCCCACACAAAAAGAATCTATTTCCACCAGACTTGCAACTTAAAATGGTCACCACTGCCCCAGAATTTTCTAATACTCCTATTCTTTTCTAATACTTGTAGCAGACTGTTATTTCCTGAAAAGACTCCTTATTTCTCAAAATATAGTTTTATTTTCATATAGCACTTCATTATGTCTCATTTTGGCCTAAATGTAAGCCTTTGACATCTTTTCCTTCTGGCTGCAATTTATGTTACTCACTTTACTGAAGTCTCTATGGGAGGCATCATGGAAGTTAAGAGTTCAGAAGAATTTATGCAGTTATCTAATGAGCCTGCTCATCTTACTGCCTGTGCTGAATGGGTTTATATTTGAATAGACTAGCCTTACATAGTTATTCAGCAAAATATAACATTTAAACAGACTGATATTTTTACATCAGCTAATGATGGAATTATACTGATCAAACTGAAACACATTTTAAAATGTATTGAAATATTTATTTTACTAATCTTCACTTGAATGCCCCACACTTTCTCTTCTGTTTTTGTTATTGCTGATTAAATCATCAATATATTTTATCAATGCATTATTTTATGTCTAGAAGGTATCCCCAGGTCCTTTCATATACTTAGTGATGTCTCAGTCTATCATTTATATTGCCAGAAATTAACTGAATTAATAACAGAGAACATTAATATTTAAAAATTTGCCATAACAAAATTAGATTTTTTTTCCAAAGTTTTTACCTACCTTTAAAAGTGAATAATTCACCAGTAACTATCAGAAATTACAAATGTGATTATTTAGACCTTACCTAGGGTGAATGAGACACAAAATAATGTAACTGGTTTGACAAAAAAATATTCTTATTTTGAAATAAATTCAATGAGTGAGAATGAAACTTTATCACATTTTGATCACATTAAAATTAAGAATATATATTTTTTCCTAAGTAGTAAAACATTCTGTTTAATAAAAACAGAAGGTTTTGATAATATGTGTTTTTAAAGGCAATTCCAACAGTGGAAGTTCTTTGTCTTTTGAGTTTACATAGGTATAGAGAGTGTTTGGTCAAAATAGTGAACTTATGGAGTTGAAGATTTGCTGACCTTGCTTGAATTCTATGTATTTCAAAATATCTGCTTCGGTAGTAGTATCCAATTAAGTAGCTATATTAAATTGAAGACTTTAGGGTAGTGCGGTCTGTTACTAATTCTACTTTTATGGGCACTATCAGAAAGTTTTATTTCTAACAGGTTGCATATATAAATTACTTATAAATGAAAATTACCTAAGTACTGCTTTTTTCTTTAACAAGTTTGAAATAAAGACTTGGTCTTTATTTCTAAAGGAAATAGCCATTTTTTAGTAACTGTCTTTTATAGATATTTATATGGATTTTAGACCAATGAAGACTTGATTTAATCATATGTAGATTATATTTATGTAAAAGATGGCCAACAGTGAAGCAGTATAAAAATATAGAAGGGTGCTTTTAATTTCCCTTGTATTTCAGTTCTGGGTCCTTTAGCTATTGAAATATGAATGTCTCAAAATGCATATAATATTCTATCCTATTCATAATGTAATGTCACTTGTGTTCAATAAAAAAAAAAAAAAAAAAAAAAAAAGAATCTTTAAAATAATCTTTTAAAATGATTATGATGAACATACTCCTATAGCAGCAAAGAACTTAAACTGCACTGTTTTTTAAAGATTTTTTTTTTTCAGACAATATAAATTTAAAGCTATTCTATCAGAATAAAGGAGATGAGAATTGATAGAAAAAAGCTTTTTATGCTTAGAACTGAGTGACACTCTTGTAATGAATGCACTAATGCTGCTAAATATACCTGTTATATTAAATAAAATAGTAGAATCTTTATAATTTGAGATTCACTAGTTGTAAGAAGAAAGATCTGTTGGTAGTTGTGGAATGGGAAGGATACAAAAATAAACCTGTGTACTCAAATAGGCTTTATGTCTGTAGCCTAATTAAGTGATTAAAATGTTGTCCTTTATTTTTCCAGCTTGCCAGTCAACTGTTTACGTTTGCATGTCAGTTCTGTCTGGCCTTGTGTGAGATCCATGTCTGTGGGTAAGACTGAGAAATTAAGACATTCTTTTTATTATTATTATTATTTTTAAATGACCGAGGTTGTTCGTTCCACTTTACTACCAGGCAAGATGAAAGATTGAAAGAGAGAATGTTAACTGATTGCAAGATGTGAATATCTCACGGCCCACAAGATTTTACAGGGAATCAGTCTTTGCTACTGCAGTTGTCCTCAGATCCACTGAGTTTGTATATCTCTGACAATGACCTTCAGTACCATTTCAGAATTACATGTACACTTTTGCAAAACACCTTGCTGGATGGCGAATTCTCACTTCTTGCAGGATTTCCTTAAGCTTTGCTGGTATTGAATGAGTCAGAACCATTGTTGTTTCAATGATCAGTGCTCTGTTTCTGCATGCTTGTTTGATCCCCATTCTGTTTATCATAGCATTTGCCTTTAACCATGGAAGAAGCAGCAGTGAACTGGAATGCTTATTTTGAGACACAGTTTTGGCTGAAATACTGTTCATTGTAGTTCACTTGAGTTTGGAGCAGGGATGTTCAATGAGAAGGTACTGAAAAAAAGGGGGTTCTTACAAGAAATATTCAGTAGCTGTGGACAAAGCTATATAACAGCATACATTTATTTATAGGCAGTACAGGTGGTAAACAGTCTTTAATCAGTAAACAAAAGTAAAAAGGTCATAAATTGAGGATTTTAAAAATAGTTGCACTAAAAATAGTTGCTTGTCAGTAATTTTTTCTCCTTTGAAGTATGACTCTGCTGCTCTTTTTTAATTCTTTTTACTGGTGAGTGGTATTTTGGTTATGTAGAGGTGAACATATCTTGATTTTGTTTAGTATGGAAAATGTTATTCCATTAACTCAGTAATTTATCACAGGGAATTTGTGGACTGCAGATGTTTCTGGAAGTGGAACAGCTCCAGCCTCTGTACATCGCAGCTGACTGCTGTAAACTGTTGTTCTGTCATATTTTTAAAAGACAGGCACACAGGTGGGTTATGTAAGGTCGTATATGTCTCTGTTTTAACTGACTTTTTAGGTGATTAGGAAGCACTAGAGAGTAGCAGAAAAATAGAAACATAAATAGTTGTGCCTTGCTTTTTTTTTTATTATTTTTATTTTTCATATTCTGTGGCTAAAAGGGTACTAGGTTAGATAGAGTATAGACCTTTATGTTTCATCAGTACCTTGAACAGCAGTAAAAGGTAATCCAATGGCTGAAGTTATATAAGCTGTGTTGATGCTCAAGCCTGTCTGTTGGCAGGATCCTCAAATGTTTGGAAATTAGCTGAGGTTGAAGATCAGATTAATTTTCTTCTGTTTTGTTAGCTTCAGCTCCACCTTCATAATTCAAAGAAGGTTTCCAGAACTGAAATATACACAGAGAAAATAATCTCTGAAAGAATATCAGAGAGTGGACTTATTCATGTTATTAAAATGCAAAGCTTCACATATAAGACTGAAATATTTCATTTAAATTAAACTATATAACAAGAACTATTATCTAGTGATATGTAACAAGAAAGCATGTAGAAAGTATACCATCACATTTTCATATACAGATACAGTTTCTATCATAATTTATGGAAACTGTACATAAATGACAGAAGGAAGGCTGAGAAAATGTGGGCCTTCTGCTAAATTAAATGGAAGACCTGTTTGCACAGGTGTGGTGGTTTAACTCAGCTGGGCAGCTGAGCTCCATCACAACCACTCTCTCATTCCCCCTCCTCAAAGGGAAAGGGGGAGAAAATACAATGAAAAGGGCTCAAGGGTTGAGATAAGGACAAGGAGATCACTCAGCCATTATTGTCAGGGTCAAAATAGACTCAGCATAGGGAGGTTAATGCACCTGGAGCACTTCCTCCCTCTCCCTCTTCACTGACCTTGATCTCTGCAGGGCTAGTTTTCACTCCTTACTCTCACAGCTGCTGTTGCACATCAGATTTTTTTCCTTTTCTTAAGTCTGCTCTCACAAAGGTGAAAACAACATTGCTTATTGTCTTGGCTGTGGCCACTTGCAGATCCACACTGAAACTGGCCCTTGTCTAACATGAGGCAGCTTCTGGACTCTTCTATCCTCAATGATTCTGTGATTTTTTGATGCAGAGTCTGTGTGATTTGGTGGAAAGAGTATTCCAAAGGCTTAATAATATGTAGTTGTATTCTATGGTATGTATAGTGTATTTCTGAGAAATTCTGGAGAAAAAAAGTGCATTTCTTTCTTGGGCTTTTTATTTACTGATGCTTCGACTTACTGAAAAGTTAGAAGTGCCCATTTTCTGGTCCCTACAAAATGCCTCCAGACATCTATATTGAATTTGGGGAAATACTGAATTAATTCTTGCCATAGGATATAAAAATGTCTTGGTAAATATCTGTTTACCAACACTTCACGTTTCTCTTCACACCAATAAGACAAAACATCTGTGTACATCTTTAATATCTCTGCACAAGCAACAGTTTGCTCTCCTTCCCTTGCTCTTCCCTGATGAGGATGGATCACTTATGTTTTCACATTGCTTTTAATCAAGGATTTAGCATGCTTCTGTGGCTAGTCACACAATCCGTTTTTTTTGCTTTTAAAAATATAGCAACTTAATATTTCTATGTCCCTTTCAAATGTATTGAGTAGTCCTTGATGTCACAGTATTCTGTAAACACTTTTGGAAAATAATCTTTTTTTTTTCTCCCCCCCACAAAAAAAAACAAACAAACAAAAAAAACCACTATGGACATTCTTAACTCAGATAAAAATTGCTTCATGAAAATTTGTCAGAGAGCTAGCGTCGTGCTCATTTTGACATACCAGTGTTCTTTGACACACATATTTGTGGCCCATTGATTGTTGTTTGTGTATGCAGACTTATACCCACACTGATCTGCCAAAGGCTACTGCATCAGCTCTATGAATATAAAGTGTGAATGGCCATCTCTAATGCACAGAGGAACACTATCAATAGCTTTATCTCCTTTTAATACATGTTACTTTTGTATGACAAATATATTGACATATTCAAACTATTTTCCTCTTTATTAATATCAGATGGGTCCGCACTCCTTATAGCTGATGAACTCTATTCCCTTCTCTCACTTCAGAGTTCATCCCCCGTTCAGCACTTTAGTTCTAGTATATGAAAGTTTATGTGATCATTTCTGTGATGTCCAGTGTTGCTGTCTCCTTTGAACAAATACATCACTTCATGCAAACCTATTCTTGCACCAAAATGCATCCACATTTTGCCAGGTGCTAACCCCATCTGCGAAATTTTTGAGACTTCACCATAGACCTAAAATGTAAAGTTTTCTATCTGTCTGCTACCTTGTCATATTTGATATGAGTAAAAATAGAACCAGAACAACTCAATGGTTGCAACCCACTTTCTGATTTGTACAAAGAAATGTGTTCATTATTTACATGAGAATGTAAATATGTAGTAAGTCATTTCCTTGGAACAGTTTTCTGCTGCATCTCTGCAGCCTTTTATTGCTAGCTGAAACTTTCATAGTTATTCCTTCACTCAGATTAGCGTATTTAAACTATGATCTGTTTATCCTATTTATCCTTTTTTTCTTCAAGATCTGAATGTTCTATCTCCCATCTTCATTCGTGATGTATTTGTATGTTTATGTAACACACTGATGGTTGTACAGATGCCTGTTTTAATCTTTCCTACCTCTGCTGTGACAAGCAGCCACCTCTGTGCTGTGTTCAAGCAACACCTTTGGAAGCAGAGACACCAGAGTGCTTTTTAGTAGCTGATTTAGTACCGAGTAAGCAGCTGAAACAGATGACTGGCTTCATATAGACAAGTGTGGTGAAATAGTGGAGGTTTTAGAACCTGTTAAAGCATGATAGTGATAACAATAGCATGATTATACAGGCCAGTGGTTTTACAATGCTAAACAGGTACAGTGCCACACAGAGCGTTCTTTCCCCTAAATAATGGGACTTGAAAATATGTAGAGAGGCATTTCACATTCTGTAGGACAAGGCCAATGTGATGAGATGTGGTCTGCAGATGTTTACACCCCCAGAAAAAGCAAGAATACTGCCTTTATTCTAAGAACAAAAGATATGGGGGATGCAGGTTCTTTTCATATTGTATACTGCAACACACTGGAAGTGTCTGAGATCTGGTTCTGACAGTGAAACTAAGCCATGCTTCCTAAAAAATGAATAAATAAATAAATAAATAAATAAATAAATAAATAAATAAATTAGATGGGAGCTATGCTCAAAATAAATAAATAAATAAATAAATAAATAAATAAGGTTTCTTTCTAAGATAAAAATATACATAAATAGTTCTGTTGACAGCACTTAAATTATGATATATCACTGGACAATGTAAAACCATAAGCCTGTGAGTATTCCCACATACTTGAGGTTCTATTTATATGCTAACTTAAGGTCCTAGGCATGGTGCTGGATCATGGCCCACTTAACTTACTTAACTATTCTAAAAATACTTATAATTGAAAAATTAAGAACTAAAACCACAACACTAATGCATTTTTTTGTCAGAGAGAAAAATATATATATTAAAAAAAGAAAAATAAGTTCTAACTACCACCATCAGTTTCCAAACATCTCCCAGTTTCTCTTTACTTCTCCCAGCCACACCTTCACAAACACCACCCTTCCAGACACCTTTTGAGCCCTTTGAAACTGTCACTGACTTTCCCAGATCTTTCAATGACCCCTCTTAGATTTCTTTTCCCTCACAGCTCAAACCCCATTATTTTCAGCCCCAATAAATTACCTCTGTTCAACTGAATTGCCAGTTCTTTCTTCCTCTTTTTCAGAACCTACTCTGTCACCTCTCAAAAACTGAATCTAGCTTTGTTTCTGATGAGTATTGACCTTGTTCTGTGTCAATGGTTTGAGCAAAAGCTGTTCTGAGTGGCCTAGACAATATTACTGAAAGATTTTCTGGCTGACGAAGAAAGACAGAAAGAAAGACTAGTGAATAGAAAGGACAAAAACAAAGTAGAGAGAAAAGAAAATGAGGAAAAGTAAACATTTTTTTTTTCACACAGATACTTAATATATTTAATAACTCAGAACTCTTTGGGTTACAAAACTGTATTGTATCTTTGGATACTGACTAATAATTTAAACCTCCAAACTTTACCTGGGTTTTCTTGATAGAACTAACACAGAATTTTGCACAGATATCTACTATCTACAGATAACTATTATTTTTGTATATTTTTGCGTAGTTCTGACTTTAACAGTCTTTCTAGTACTAGTGCCTAAATGGTGTCATTCATCCAATCCTATAAAAATATGCTTTTTTTTGACTTTTCTGCTTTGAGAACTATGTCGAAGTCTGGGGTTCTGTCAAGTCTGGTGACTCTAAAATGGTCATACACTAACTTTTTTTTTGCCTTAATATATGAATCTTTCAGATTAAAATTCAAAATTTATTTTCTTGTTTCATTTATAATCACTGAAGAAAAAAATGTATTGTTGGTTTCTTACTCTAAGATAAATACCTATATTTAGGCAGTAGATCATCTAAGGAAAATATGTCAATGTTTGATGAACAAATCTATGGAGAAAATTTGAAGAATTTTGTTTCTCTGTTAAGTAGCTTGAAAGTAGAAGTAAGTGTGTGAAAATGAGAAGAGGAAATGTTTACTTAACTGGAGTGGCAACAATGGCATTTCTTCACTGGAGAATAGCTTGTTAAGTGAAAATGAGACTTCTCCAACATTTGTGACAATTACAATTTCAGTTTCACCAGTCCTGGGAAATGTGCATAACCCTCATTAGAGGAAATAATCCTGTTATCAGTCTCAGGAAAAAGAAAAGTGTCTACTTTGTATGGGTGTTCTGATACTACCTTCCAGCCTTGCTTTTCTGAAGTGCCATGAGTCAGAAGATGCATTATGGCTGATATCACAGCACAGCATCCATACCTTGGTAACAGTCCCTCCTTTAGCATTAGTCCTAGATTTCTCATATCACTATCTTCATTAAATGGAGGTCAGTTGTCTTATCTTGAACCACTTCCATATGTGTTGTTAAAACTGTTCCTCTGTAGCCTTGGACTTCCAGATTTTCCATGTTTTGCTAACTAAATATTTCTTCTCCTTCTCTTTCTTGCCCTGTGACTTCACCAATTTTTCTTTCTCACATTTGGTGAGTCCAAAATAATGTAAGCTCCTATCAGAGACCTACTAACTCTGGGAGGCAGATATTAATTTAGTGTCAAATATATATATATATATATATATATATAAAACAGACCAGAATCTATTAATCTGCAAGATAATACTTAGCAATTGCAGGGAAAATTGGAAAAGAATTGTTTGTATACCTGCCAGGTGGCAGTGTTCAAAAAAATTATGTATATGTAGCAGCCAGTTCTTAGAACATTATTTTAAGTGTCTTTTTTTTTTTTTTTTTTTTTTTAATCACTGAGGTACTCAATTTACATGTGGATATTCTCTCATATTATCAAGCTCAATAATTTACTTGATCTATTATCAGAATTCAGAAAAGAAATTAAATACTTCAGTCACAGATACACTACAACATTAAGTCTAACTGAACCAAATATACTTTCTCCCCAAAAATACATGTTTTTTAAAAATATATATTTATTTTTAACATTCTT